CCAGGACTGCGAGGGCCAGCTGGCTGTGGCAGGCAGGCACCATCCCCTCCCCAGGAGGCCCCTGTGGTCCCACAGGACAAACACGACAAATGTGGGGACAGGGACCTGTGCAGGGGCCAGAGGAGCCACACACCAGGGCATCAGGGTCTATGAAGGGTGCAGAGCTGGGTGGGCAGCAACTGGATCCCTCCTGCAGCAACAAAGCAGTGTTTTTCCAGGGTCTTTATTGGCAAGCCCACAGCTGGGTCCCCATCCAGCTCCTTGCTGAGCACCCCATGGCCCTGTCCCAACATATCCCCAGCTTCCTCCCACATGATGGAAGGGACTGACCGAGGGGTGGGTGCCAAGAGCATTGCCCGGGGCTCTCCCCACAGAGGCGAGGTGGCTCAAGCCAGGATGGGGTAGGTGGCTTCGGTGGCCACACCGCAGTTGTTGTCCTTCATGGCCATGAGGATGTAGCCATCATTGCCCCAGTATGTGGACCAGGAGTTCTTGATGAGCCAGTAGGTCTCTCCCTGCAGGACCCCGTAGCCCACGGCCAGCACCGCGTGGTCCAGCATTCCCGGCTCGTTCCCTGCAGGGGTGACCAAGGAGACAGCTTGTCTGGAGAGCATCCCTGCTCCCTGTGCTGCCAGCAGCACTGGGGAGGGCTGCAGGACCAGTTCCCTCTTCCACCCCTGCCCAAGATGCTCAACAACAAGGAGAGGATCCCAGGTGTCCTGGCATCTCCCTGGGGCACCCAGGTCCTCCCATGCCACCCAACTCACCACACTTGGGCTCATAGTAGATGCCGTTGGAGTAGAAGGAGAAGGTCTTGTGCGAGGCGTCGATGCTGACAGCCACGGGGCCGTGCTTGTAGATGGCAGCTTTGACCGCTGTGATGTTGCCCGAGGTGACGTTGACGTAGCCTGTGATCTTGGCCAGCATCTCAGACTGGTTGTAGTGGCACAAACCATTCTGCGGCACCCAGGGTGGGGGGACACACTGTGTCATCAAGTGCCCCCAGGTCCCCTCACTGGGACCCTGCCCAGCCAGGCTGCCCCCGTGCAGCTCTGCTCTGATGCAGGGAGTGATCTGGGACTCCGCTGTGACAGCATCCCAGCTCCAACCCCTGTGCCCTCCCCTGCCCACTGTGGTGGGGACATTTTCCCGGTTGCTGCAGGGACACCGTGTTGCCCACACACAGCACAGGGAGCTGCCTCCGCACCCAAAGCCCTGGGGGGGCTCTTGGCTGCATCTGGCAGCCACGTCCCTGTCCCTGGGCAGCCCAGCTCCATCCCTGCACCCCAGGGTACAGAGGGACCCATAGTACCACCCATGGGTGGAGGAGCTTCATCCCTGTTTTGCAAGAAGAGAAACTGAGGCACACAGTGATGAAACCACCCAAGCTGAGCCCCGGGGCTTGGCTTCGGACTGTGCTTTGAACCGCAGGGAGCCTGGTATCTTGGGGACCTGGTGACATCCCCATTTCCAGAGCACCTTAGCACCATCCTGATCAGCCCCACCAAGGCTTTAAAGGCCCAGGGAACAAATCCTGAGACCTGGGGCACCCCAGCAGGGACATGGGGCCACCCTCACCTGCCCTAGGTAGGTGCCATAGGACTCGGTGCTGGCGATGCCGCCGTGTTTCTTGATCCACTCGTAGGCTCGCCACTCCTCGCCCCCGTCACAGGCGTAGTTCCCGAAGCCCCAGGAGCAGTCAATGAGGACTTGTTGGGACAGGGGGGTCAGCACACCGGTCTGCAGGGGGGAACACACTGCAGGGATGGGGCCGGGCACCCTCCAGGCACCCCGGCCATCCCTGTGGGGCACGGCCCCGCTCTCACCTTGAGGAAGAGGGCACCCTCCATGGCGCCCGTCGTAGCAAAGCTCCAGCAGGACCCACAGACGGCCTGGTCCTTGACAGGGGTCACAGCACCTGGGGACAGTGGGATGAGACTGGGGTGGCACCGGGGGATGAGGGCAAGCGGAAGGGAAACTGAGGCAGGAGTTGAGGACTTGCTGTGCTCCCAGAGGCAGTGCAGCCTTGGTGCTAATTGGGGAGGGCAAATACACCAGCAAATCTGTGGGATGCCTGCCCTTGGGTTGGTGCAAGCTCTGGGGGTGTCACTCCCACCTGACGGGGACAGGGGGACAGCCAGATGTGGCTTCAGGTGTCACATCTGCCCCTGGGGCACCAGACAGAATGAGGGCCCATCTCCGACCACACTGCCTTTTGCCAGATAAGCCCCGCTTCGATCTTCCAGTTGCTGAGCAGCGTGGGGGCCACGGGGGGGTGTGGGCCCCAAGGGGCAGCGCAGCCCCACCGGCCCCTCAGCATGGCGACGGAGAACGGGGTGGCTCGGTTGGACTTTGTGCTGGCCTGGATGAGGAGCGCTCACACCCTCCACGTCGCAGCCCCACACCACCCTGATGGCAAGACCCCCGGCCCCGCACCTACCGTACATGCGCCAGTCGAGGCTCTCGGGCAGCATCAGCCGGTGCCACTGCCACCTCTCACCGCAGCAGCAGCGGTGCGAGCCCCCAGGGATGGGGAACACCCCTGGAGGGGGGTGTCAGCCCCCCCCCCCAATTGCCTATACCTCATGTTGTGCACAAAGACACTCTGCCTGTGCTCCAGCTCCCGTGCGGAGCCGTACTGCCGCCCCAGCCGCCGGCGGTAGTGGTGGAAGACCTCATGGGCCCAGGGCTGGTGTTGTCCCACCAGGTCCTCCATGGGGTTCACCAGCACCCGGTGCTCCACTGTGCTCCCTGGCAGGGCTCCACACTTCTTTGTCTCTGGGGAGCAAGGAGGGGAAGCCATCAGCCCGAGCCCCGCCGGCAGGGTGGCGGGGGGCCCAACCCAGCTCACCATTGATGGGGAGGTCGAAGATGGAGGCAGGGAAGCTGTTGTCGAAGTCAGTGTAGGTGATCTCGTACTTGTCGTAGTGGGAGCCCAGCAGGCTGTTGTAGCCTCGCATCTCATAGTGGACGGGGGCCACCCCGCAGCTGGAGTTGGTCACCCACAGCGTGTAGACATTCTTCTTCTGCGCCCAGCGGGTGACGTTCTGCCAGACGGCGCAGTACCGGCCCCGGTAGTACTCCTCCCGCAGGAACTGGGGGGACACAGCATCAGGGTGGGGGGGCTCTGGGTGGGGACCCCACATCCCCCCTCTGTGCTTGCTCCTTCCCACCCAGCGCCTTTGCAGGAGCCCGTTGCTCCCGGTGCACGTACAGCACCTTGCACCCAGCCTATGCTGCGCACTCGGGCTCGATCCAGCCACTTCGTTAGCACAGAGCCAGGCGTGGGGTGGAATGTGGGGCGAGGATTTGGGGTGCAACACAGGACAGACCCCCCCTGTCCAGCTCAGCAGTGCCCTGGGGACACCCCACTGTGCACAGTGCTCTATGTGCACCCATAGTGGAGGAGCCTGGCTGCACCCCTGCTCCAAAAGCCTCCAGGTTTTCATGTTTCCACATGTTTCCATGTTTCCCCATGGGCACGTGTCTGGCTCTGTGTCCAGCTCGGTGACAGCTTGCTGTCCCCCCCACTTGTGCGCTGCACCCCTCCTGCTGCGCCCAGGGAGCTGAGCCGCTGTGCAGCAACTTGCCCAAGCCGTCCCAAAACACCGGCGTTTGTGTGGGCTGCGACACGTCCCAACACGGCTGCCAGGGTTGGGAAAGGAGCCGGCAGTCCAGCCCAGATCCAGGTGGAGAAGTGACCCTCCCTGCGCCCCGGGGTGTGGGGGCATGTGCTGGCCTGTCCCAGCACCCTGCACCCCCTGGGACAGAGGGGAGCATCTCCAGCTGCCCAGAACCCCCCCAGAGCCTGAAGATGCTCGGAGCAGTGGGTCGGATCCAGGCTTCGGCTCCCTCACCTTGAAGCCGTCAATGTTCGGAAAGACACTCTGGGTCTTGACCACGTCCTCCTTGGAGCCAGGCAGCTGGAAGCATCTCCTGGTGTTCACCTCCTTCTCGGTGGTCTCCGGCGTGATCTTGTAGCGCATCCCATAGGGCTTCACCGACGCCAGCTGGTAGGTTATGACCTGCCCTGTGCCAGCGGGAAGGGGAAACTGAGGTATGGCGGTCCTGCCCGCATCCTCAGGGATGGGGACTGGTGCGGGATGGGCACAGCCCGGATCAGATGGATGCCCGCCTGCTTACCCCCGTAATACTGGATCCGGCTCTTGTTTCCCGTCAGGTTGTACCAGGCTTCGAAGGGCTCCTCAATCTCAGCATAGGGCAGGTTAATGACACCTGCGGGGCCCCCAGCGTGGGACACTGGTCAGTCCCAAGGCCTCAGCACCCTGACATCCCCCAAGCCCCAAGGCCTCAGCACCCTGACGTCTCCCAAGCCCCCCAGCACCCACAGGGTGTGCAGACCCACAGCCAACCAAACTGCTGGCCCCACGGGTGCTGAGGCAGGGGGAGGCACCCAGCTGTGGGAAGCTGCCCCAGTTTGGCACTGGGATGGCCTGGTCCTGCCTGGTGCTGAGCATCCTCCACTCCCCCCCACCCCCCATAGGAAAGGGCACAGCAGGGTCCCATTACCTCGGACATGATAGATGGAGCCGAAGTGGGGGGGTGAGCGGGAGAGCCTGTAGTCCTGTCCTGAAAGGCAGAGAGGGGCAGGAGTGAGTGGGGGGTTGCCCCCCCCATGGCCAAGCAGGGGCCGGGGCGGTCGGGGCAGAAGGCTGCCCAAGCCAGAGCTCCCCTTCCCTGCAGCCCCTCCTGCACGTGATGGGGGGGCTTGGCCAAAAGCAGCTCCACGAGCCCACCGGTGGCCACATGCAAAGGACACCGACGCCCTGACACCCTCCCAGGGCCAGATCCAGGGTGGGCACCATGCCACCACCCGCCGCCATGCTGGAGCACGCCCTGCAATGTTGCATCCCCAGGGAAGCCCAGCTGGGGTTGCTGGACAGTGAAGTCCCCCGGGGAGGCAGTGACACCCCCAGGGCTGGTGGCCATGGCTTTGGATGATGTTTCCAAGGGGGGATGCAGCCAAGCTGTCCCCTGACATGGTTGAGGGAGCCGGCTGGTCTTGCCTAGCATCTCCTGGTGACCTCCCCAACCTCCTGCCGGGCTCTCAGCTTGTGCAACCCCACGCCAACACACCCACTGCTGGGAGCGAGCCTTTCCCTCCGTCAGCATCTTCCTCCCCACCGGGAGCGATCCGGCAGCGCCTGCCCCATGCCCAGCCCCAGGCAGCCGGGACCAGACCCAGCTCTGCTTCTGTACCCGAAACCTGGGGCAGGCAGGGACTGGCAGCACCCGCTGCCTGCACCCCAGGCTGTCCCATGGGTGCCCATCACACCCTGGATCTGGGCACCCACAGGCAGTGACCGGGACAGGAGGAACAGAGATGGATCCAGCAGCAACACAACCCTGCTCGGCTTTACACCCACCCAGGAAGGGGGTCCTGTGGGGCCACAGTCCCCCCCATTCCCCCCATTCCCTCCTGCTGCTTCCAACAACAGCCTGCCCGCCTTCCCTGCAGGAAAGCCAGGGAATGGCTCAGGCTTGTGTGCCTGTTAAAGCCCATCTGGCTCAATTTAGCCCTATTTTTACCCCGCTGAGCCCTCGAGGCACATCACACACACCCCACCCCCC